TATTCTCCTAAATGACACACATCAACGTTTGCTTCGAAATTCCTACACATACTTCTATAACTTACCTTTGCATACTCTCGATTCGTCCTATTACGAAGTTTCCGCAAAACTTCATTGTTCTTTGTTAATAAAGAAACTTTTCAATATGTGTATGATATAGAAATTATCATCCGTCAATATATATCACATTTTAAGTCTTGTAATTGTAATTTCCTATTGTTTTATATGGATAAGATGAAAAATATTACATGTGATACAATAAAACGTTGTCATAACTTGCCAAAAATAATTATGAAACGTTTTATTTTATATAGAATGCGCATTTCATCTGACAAACAAAGATTATCAAACAAAATGTATAGCAGTAAGACTATGGCGATGCATTCTACTATTAAATAGCATTTTTGTTCTAAGTATGCATTTTGTACATGTATATTTTATTATTTATAATATATAAAATATTAACATCTGTTTTCTTTCCTTATTTTCCTTATATTCGTTTAAACTGTACGGGTTCCCGCTTTGTATTGTGATTGGTTCCGCCATTTTTAGGGGCTATGACTTTGACCCAATGAAAAGTGGTCTACAAGTTCGCCGGACTCTGTATTCTAGGGACTCTAGGGCCAAGTTCTAGCATAGTATAACTAGTAGGGGCACTCTCTGTCGGCACCTTTGATCTGGGCGTTCTCAATTTTCCGCCATGTTTTTGATCGCCCCAACAGTGTATCAACGGCTAAAAGTGCCTGGGCCCTTTTCAGGATCGTATCCAGGAAAGGCGCGTACGAATTAGCGTACATTATTTATTGTAAATGGAAATGGCCTATGAAAAAAATGTTCTAATAAAGGTAATTAATGTAATTACTTGCTCCAACGTATAAAAGTATTAACGCGTCAACACTGCAAATTTTTCAATGTCACACCGACTTTGCACTAACACACGTACAAAAATCCTGTGATTGGTCATAACTAAAACATGTCGGATGCGCAGTACGGATCGGCGCGAACGTGAAACAAAAGAGCGAGTGCCCATACTGGTTATACTGTGGTTCTAGCATCGTGGACACAGGCCTTAAGGTTCGGGAACGCGCAGTCTATATATACTATGTCTATGGCCATAACTAGAAGAAGAAGATGAGAAAACAGTATCTTTTAAACATGGAAGAGAGATTCCGGAACCTCGACTGGTACGTGCACAGCGATTTTGCGAGATGATTTCAAGCGTCGAAACGGACAGAATTTTTGTAAATGAATTTTGCAATTTCCGCTTATTACAATTTGTACAAATTGAGGTGTAATTGTTTTCCCATGAATGTCGAACGACCGCGATTCGACACTTGTACACTTTTTGTCTTAATTCCTTGTTTAATTTGTATTTAATCGTTGCAGGCATCCTGCGTTGGAGGACATGATAGACAATGTCTTCATCAGGGACGAGAGAATGGAGCGCGAGAGCGCGATGTACAAAATCATGAACGATAACTTCAAAAATCCGTTTGAGAATATTGAAAGTGAGTACGCCGATGTCGATGTAGAGCTGATTAAAAAGCATCTCTTCGAGGATGGCGAGGTTTTTGCCGACTCGCAAGACGAGGAACAAGTGAAGCACGAGGATAGCTCCAGTATGCAAGAGCAAAAGAAGCTCTATGTACCTGGTATAAGGGTATCACCGGTTCCCTTTCCTAGAAAGTCTGAATTAACTATGGCTCAGCAAGCTATGTGCCTGCGCGTTTTATTGAGATTTTCTAGCATCGAGAGGGGGCCAATGAATGAGAAAGAGCGAGAAGAATACGAAGAATACATGGTAAATAGACATCAAGCATTTTTCATTTCTGTCCAACATTCTTTATTTAGACGAGCAAATTGAGACAGGGGAAAAGAACGAAAAGCTCTGTTGAAATTGATTTTATAAACGACAATAAACTTCTGATTTGTGTGCATTGAAATTGGGATTAATTTCTTCCAGACATTGAAACGAATAATAAATCAGGAACAGCAAGAATTTCTAGAGTTTGTAAAGAACCAATGGGACGAGACCTTCAAATGGCGAATCAAATGTAATAAATTCGTCGCATTAAAGTGGAAGGCAAAGGCGCACAGGTATAGAACGTTACCGCAATATTATGTCGAAAGTACAAATATATCACTTTGTGTACAGAAGGTTAATTTGACGAATAAAGATATTAGAGCAGTATTCACGTCTTGTTTACAACAGGCAAGTTATCATGGCATTTACCCAACGTACTTAATTTGAAAGTGTACATTTAACTATTTTATTATTTTTAGGAGGCTTTACCCAAAGTGATATTGCCGACACTCGATCGGCCGCAGAAATTGTTTGTAGATACTGTAAAATTGCTCGAACGATATCCTCCGTGTGTCACACATCAAGTGACGCAGCATTTCAGATTACCCGTGAGTGAGGATATGTATTGCGAGAGTTTGGCGAGGGAAGCTGAAGCAGACTTTGTTATCTCGTCCAGTGGCCTCAAGTGTTTATTGAACAACATAGACCCAAACTATTCAAACACGTGGCTCATACCGATAGTCGTGAAATCGTATGGTGGAAAGAAGGTTGTTTATGTGGATAAAAAATTACCACCTACCACAGCCACTATACAGCAAAAAAATACTTGGGTTTATAAATACATACTTAGGCATTATTTCGTTAATGAAAGTGAATCCTCGAAAAAGTGAGTATAAAGCATGATAGAAAAATTTAATTTGTTGTATGTATCTCACTCTCATGACGAATATTTTAGAATAAAAACGAAAGAAAAACCTGAGAGTGCCACAAATTGCTCTGATTCGGACGATAGTACATGCAATGATTATCTTAAGATCTATGAGGAAGATTTGTATTTATCAGATACAGATAAATCGGATAATCTAACAAATGTCCAAACTGATTTCAAAATGGATAAGGAACAAAATGTATCGTATAATCTTTTCAGACTAGGGCCTTCACTGGAATTTTTACAGCAAGAAAAAATGAGTGGGGTGAAGGAATATAAAATGTTAGTTCGTACAAAGACGGATGGTATTGAGGTAAAAATATTCTCATACCGGTAATTTTCTTACCAATAAATCAGTATTGAATTATAAAATTTGTAATTTATCCTCATCAGATGTTACCAAACCAAGAATCGCAGACTTTAATATTAGCACCAAAGATGGAGCATCAGCTTGCATATGGAGCTGAAGCTGTAACATTGGACGAAGGCATGCAGCAGTGGATCTCATTAAAATTTAGACCAAAGGCATTATTAGCTAGAGGTATCTATTATTTTATAATTATTATGATTACGTTCATGCGTTACTTTATTGTCCTCGAGATAGGATTACAGTCCCAGACTAGAATAATCTCGTTCTCTTTCACTCAAAAATAAAACACAAGGCATGTAAAGAATGAAGGTCAGAATTGAATCCAAGACTTAAATAATTAGCTCCTACATGTATGAAGAAGAAAGTCCTCTATTATGAGATAGGCTTCTAATGTGAGACAACAGGTTTTCAACGTCCAAATTCAATCACAAATCTTTTTTCGCGACGATCACACGATTCAACAATGAATCCACTAAATTTTTTTCCACATTGAATCCACATTTCCACTAAACAGATTTCACTTCAAGAGCAATAAATTCATGGTGAAACTAATATGTGTATATCATTATATTCTATACATATTCTATATATCTATATTTTGCATTACCACAGTTAGAATAGCAACTGACACCGCGGAAATAATACAAATAGAAAGACATACATCACTGTCGGTGAGCAAAGATCTAAAACGACTTCATAACGTCAAAGTGCAAGATTCTTTAAGTATTTTGCATAATATAATTGAGGAATTATCATCCTTGACTCCTGGTCAATATATTATAAGACATGTTCCACAGAATGGACCGTTTGCTTGTGTTTATAAACCAGTCAACCATAGGTAAATGTTATGAATCTATCATGAATCTAATCTATTGGAAAAATTACAACATAGATTTCACTAACAAAAAAATATATATTGGAAATACTTTTCAGGAAAAATGTCTTCGATTTACATGCAATGTATAAATCCATGACATATGAAACAATATCCAAATTTCCATGGCCACCCATAGATATTATGATGACAACTCCAGCGATTAAATGTTATAAAAAGATGCCTGCAATGTTTAAACCATCTTTCAAGGTTTCTAAGACACCATCTGGCCGACCTAGAGGACGCCCAAAGAAAAATACTAATGTCACTAGCAATAATAAAGGTTACTAATTTTTTTCATACTTTAAGCTCAAACCTATCGATTGATAGAGAAACATATGGTAATATAGTAGAACCAATATATTATCAGAGAGTATTATTTTATCCGAATGTTTTACTTTTTCAAATTACATTGAACTGATAGTAGATAATAGTATTTGTACTTAACTATTTTTTATCAAGTGTAATACTCTTATTAAGAATATTGATATTTAACAATCTCTATCATTGGTATAATTATCTCCTTCTCTTCTTACATGAGGAATATTTTATGCAATATTTTTATTTTATGAAAATGTACTATTTTATATCAGAATATTTGTAACACTATACTGCGTTCACGGAGAGAACGACCACGCATTTCGTCCGGTTCGGTCAGACCACGCCTCTATTTTGCCCCCTCCACACCGAACAGGCCCTGAGTAGCGCGCTCGATTTCCCCTACCTCATCCCCACTCTGTCCAAAGCTGCGCGAAGCGTGGTCGTTCTTTCTGTGAACGCAGTATAGATGAGATGTAAACAAATTATCTGAGATATGAAAATAAAATTAATTTGAATTAAAGTCAAATTTGCAGGAAATTGGCAACAACTTAAAAGAATTCAAAAAGTATGAAAACAAGATTTTTATGTATATTGTATATATATATAATTATATATATATTATTTATATATATATAATCTCCAACAGAAGGATGAGTTTCTGAAAAAGTTCTGTAAAATGCCTGACATATTTTATCGATAAAAAATTACAAATTTAACGGAGAATATGTCGTCGGTAGAAATATGATAAAGTTTTGTCAAAAAAAGTTGACAACAGAGCCACAACAAAACTACAAGTCTAGCAAATTAGCAGCCAAAGTAAACTAGGACTTGCATTTGCCAAATGTCAATTTGCTGCAATTTCTGAAGAAGTTGCTGTCAATTTATTAGTTAATAATTTGCTTACTAATTGTAAGATTTCTTTTATTGTCTACATAATTAATGTTATGTGTCTTTTTGTATATTTTAAAATAAATGTATAAAATTCCAAGTATATATCAAGAAAAGATTTTTTTTATATTTCTTTATCCAATAATTTAACTGTCCAAATGTTTTTATCTCTTTATTAATTCTATCCCTCGGGTAATAAAGGTTCTACTTTATTCTCATTATTAGTTTTGTACATATCTAAAATATGCAATGCTGAATCAATATCTTTTCGTTTCTAGTTCCTGTATCTCTCCGAAGAAGTACTCGGCAAATAATAAATAAAACGAAGACGTAAAAGAGAAAACGCAGCATAATTTTCTAGAAGAAAATAGTTTCTATTTTGAAAATATTTGTTTATTTTGTAATGAAATTTTTGTTTCCTATATTCTTTCTTTCGTGCTGCTCTTTAATAATCGGTAATGCATCACACAGCTATTCATATCTCGATTGAAAAGGTATGCACAATCAATTTAGAATAACGTTTTTATTTTGAAGTGAGTAATCAAATCTAAAATAATTGAAAAGCAACATAAAAGAAAAAGTGATTAAAAATAAAATGTTTTTTTCAGATGTGTAATTGCACAAAGTTAGCTATAATTTCATCGATATATATGTAAAATACTATCAAATGCCAGGTATTATGGATATGAACAACATTTATATTCGTCAACTTTTCTCTACATTATTTTTCTAATTGCGTGAGCAGAATAAAAATATATTCATATACTATAATAAAAATATATTCACATAAATTTGTTGTCTTCTTTGTGCCATATCTCACATACGAATAGTTAAGGAGAAATGTAGAGAAAATTCACTTTTATCTAATTAATCTGGTTTATAATATGGACATATGATTGTATGATTTGACATTTATAGTTGGTTGTATATGAAAAATTATATAATTTTTTCTTCCAATTTAACAAGCAAACAAATATGCTGTGTGCAAATGTTCAAGTTGAAATATTTTATTTTATAAACTGTTATAATATTTACAAGTAGGTATGCCTAGATTTCCAGACATATATAATACATATATGTATATTTTAGTTTTTATATTATATGTATGAACAAAGACGAGAAAATAAATAAACAGCATAGAATGTTCTTGATTTTATTTTCATTGATTTCCTAATTATCTCTCTTTTACACAATGAGATTCTTTATATAAATTATATAAATTTTTGATAAAAAGAATATATAAAATATAATTTAATTAAATATAAGATGTGTATATATGAACAAGATTGGAACGCATAACATTGGGAAATTTTACTGGCCTACATAGTATACAGTAAAAGTTTCAAAAAAGTATTACAAAACTGATATTGAAAAATGCAGTAAGAAACCTTTTCTAATTCCTTATTAATACATTAAGCGATATTAAGATGGAATCTGTGCAGGAATATATAAAGTTTTTCTTCTTTTTATATTATGCATCAATAGGCAATAGGTGTAGCACCTGGACCCTTAATAGCTTTATCAAAATTTATGTAGAGACCAGGGAAAGAAGTGCCTTCTTGTAATCTCCTGAGGTGTCGCCCTGTAACATATATATGTACTTGTTAACAATTTATTGCAATTGAAAAATATAATTTGGATAATGGAACAACTTGTTTGAAAGCGCATAAATTTGAAATATTATACATACAGCTATCCAGCTCTCCAGAGACTTTCCGAAGCGTTCCTCAAATGCCTTCTTAATATCTCCCAAATCAATTTCACTTCGAGACACGATGATACGGATGAGCGTTCGATCCTTCGTACCTATGCCATGCATACTGGCATATAAACGTTCAGCGAAAAATCCAACTTTTGACTTGACGCATTTCACTGTTGGCCAAAAATTAAGATGATTCATAGCGTTACAGTCGTATCGATTATATGTTAATGAAAAATATATGGAGGAATATGAGTAAACTGTTATTCGGGGGAGCATTCTTTTTCCATGCTGTAAAGTAACACTACGCTCATACAGCATTTTCAATCTGGATCTTACACAGATTATACTACACTCGTGTATAAAATATATACAATGTAGCAACAAATGTTTTTGTATGTTACATGTAACAGTTGCCATGCAACATTGTCAAGGGATATACATATATGTATCTATGTATGTATGTATTGATATACAGGGTTCAATACCACACAAGTATACATACCGTTTGCATGCAATTTAGAAATAAAACTATGCTTCTTGAATGATTATTACAACACAATGATAGAGATATTCTTTTCTTTTTTATCAAAGTTTTAAGTATCGTTACTTTAGGATTAATTAGATTGTTACACATGAATAAAGAACAGTGGACGACAAGAAAAAAGTTTGAGGGGTACCTTACGCTACTAGCTGCGTTCGGCATTGCAAATCCGAGTGCTCTTCCTCCTTTTTTACCTCATTCTCCTTTCTCGCTCACTCGTATGCAAAAGAGCACTCTGACACCTCGGATTTGCAATGCTGAACGCAGCTACTGTGTACTGTGTCGGGCACTCGTGTCCAAAACTCTAAGAATTATATGGCAATCACAGCAACAATCATATTAATATTTCTACAAATGGGTAAATAAAAAGTGAGCAAAATCTTGCGGCGGTAACTTGCCTCTGCCCTGCGAAAATATTGTTCGACCGTTCTACAAAAGTTGACGGAAAGCATAAATGCGAGTTGTGAGATATTTACGGAAAGTTCGACTCGTGTTATATCGGGATTATTGCTATTCCGTTGCGTTTGCAATGACTTATAATTTCTTCGCGTCGATCTGCTATTTCAATCACTTGCTCGTGTTTCACACTGAAACGCACAATTAGTCTCACCTAAGCACAACTAACAGGGAAATACATCGAGCAAGTTTCTTCTGATCGTACAATACAGTATTAATATTAATCAATTGATTCTGAGGCGCGCGTGCTTATAAGAAACATAAGGGCAAGTCACATTGTGAAATTAGTAGCTGCAAGTGATTTGTAAATAAGAATGTTATGATGTAATTGGTACACTTATATCCTATTCAGAAGCTTTACCTATTCCAAGCAAGCCTTTCTCGATGCTGCCAGAAAATTCCTTCTTTATGGCAACCTCTATGTCGTGCCCTGATACTTTCTCATACTCGATAAACGTTTGACGCAGTTGCTGATAACTGCGAGATACCAAGATCGCATTGAATTGAGATTCGTCAGTTCCCCACTGCTTTTCACCTGTATTCGAAATTCAAAAGGAAACATTTTTAAAGCGAGCCAAACACGCTTTGATTTTGCAGATTGACAGATAAACAGATGAACTTATCGAAATGGATAAAGGAAATTTGACGAAAACATTTCGCGACATACCAGCTTCGTATAACGCTTGGGCATCGGCAGTTGCTTGCGCATGATCGATTCCCTGATTTTCGTCTCTGTTTGCCTGCACGAGGGATACCAGCAATCTCTTGAAATGGCCCGACGTATCGCCCTTCAAGTCGCTCTCGAGTGTTTTGCCGTACACTATTCAGAATAATGTATTTCTTACAGGAGAAAACAAAGCTATAAACAAGTGTACAATAAATGGAGGCAAAGAGCTTACAATTTTCGTAAAATGTGGCGATCGTACGGATGCCGTAATTGCTGAGTGTGCACAGAATCTCGACAATTGCCTCCTCATCAGTGCCCATACCGGTGACCGCGTCGTGCAGCTCTTTGGCATAGTAATGTGGCAACGGGGTCATAAGGGCAACAATGACATCCTCCAGTTTTCCAGTTAACTCGCTCTTGAGATCGCTAATTAGATCTTTTCCATACATGGTCTTAAACGCCTCCGCGATCTCCAGTCTCTGCACAATGCCTCTCTTTGTGAGCACGTCGATGATCGCCTTCTCGTCCGTGCCGAATCCCTTCATCGCCTTGCGCAAAATAGTGGCGTCCGCGTTTGCATCGAACGGCTCGGCGGGATACACCGTTGGGGTGCACTAAAACGCAACAAGTCAAATTGTAACAATGAAGAATTTTTCTACAATCTTTGATTAAAATTAGAGCGATCGCGAGTTGAAAATGCGAAACAATAATCTACGCGTACAATCCCAGATAGCACACATAGTTGTATGAATGCTCTTCTGGAGTGCAAATAATCTTAATTTCAGAATATTTCATATATACAGATTGTTACAATTAGAAATCGTAGATTTTTAGAATATTCGTCGAGAAATAATTTTTTAATATTAATCGAATTTACCATATATGTATAACCGACACGCTATATTCGATAGATTATTCTATTCACTATTGAGACGGGAAATGATATTATAGTCAACCCAACTGGCTAGTTATTTTATTAGTTTATTATACAACTTTTTCAAGTGGTACTAAACCAGTCATCGTCGTCGAATAAGACAGTCGAATTATACACACAGAAAAATATATACTACCTACAGTATTATTTGTTCCAAGTATTTGATAAGTTTATATATCCACAAATCTATCATAATGTCGTCGCAAGTGTTATATTTACTCAAAACATATTCTGATTCTTAGTAAGTCTAGTACTTGAAACAAGAAAACATAGAATTATTTGAAGCAAAACAATTTTGTCTCTTCTGACTTTATTAAAAGAAGCATACAGAATCCTTCCATAAGTTTTCTAATTTTCTTCAAAGAAGAATAAATTCTTTCTTTGAGTATAAGATGGCAAGCTTTTCTAAGACTAGTAACAAGTATATCTTAAAACTATTATTAAGAAAATATTCTTTGTTGGAGCAAACTATTACTTAAACGGAATAAAATAAACTGAGTAATTACTTTTCTTGACTGTACAATAATATTTTTCTGTGTGTGGGCTTGAACATTCTATATATTCTATTCACATTCGAAAAAGGTAGTAGTGCCAGTCGAATATTCCTCGAACATAAGATAAATATATAAGAATGACCTATGGAATATAGCCAATATTCTTGAAATGTTCATAGGAGTGTCTTGTGCTATCTGGGATTCGTTCTTGTCGATCTAATCTTTTTATAACGCACACCGATAACGACAAAAATTGATAAATTTATCTATACTTGAGAGATGATAATTAATTGTAAGTACAACTCTCAAGGTCTCGTTTCGTCAACTTTGACGTTACAAGCAATTGCATTAATTGCAGAATACATTTATTATTGTATATTATATACTCGTGTTTTATTTAAGAAAATAATTCATCGCGCATTCGTAGAATCAATGTAAAAAGAATTGGTGAGAATCTTGAGCGAAACGTGAGTCGACTCGAAAACTAGGCTGCCGTTAAAAATACGGATGATCGAGACGCCAGTCAGCGCGCGCCGGAAATAGATCGATACCGCTAATTATCGGCGATGATCTCGCTGCTCGGCATCCGATCACGTACCTTGAACGGATAGTATTGTTGCTGCGACATCTTGGCCTTGTTCCTCTCTCGTGACGGTCGACAGGGAAATCCGCGGGGCTACCTAGCGAGACAGAGAACCAGTGATCAACGATGCGTCATCAGCTCGATTTTTTCACGTTTCACGTTCGTGAATCGTGCGGCGTGACCGCGACTAACAATAAGTACCGCGAGTCACGACAGAGTTAACCATCGGAAGCCGGTGGCGGCTTTTCGACCGACTGTCACTTCGAATCGATTCAACTAAAACTCCGATTAACGTAATCGCCCATTTATCGAGTAGCGTCTGTGAGCGTCGTGCACAATTACTTGTCTTGCTATTGAAATAACGCGCAAAACAGATCAGGCACCAGCAAACAGCTAGGCTACCTTAAATCAGTTGCCCTCCAGTCTTCAAGATAAAAACTATCTCCAACTTGATAAGGTTTTTCTTACTTTCTACACGAACCCGAGAAATATCTCAGTTTCCGACATGATCGATCAAGATAGAAATCGGTTCACCCCGAGGATCGATTTCGACCGTTGGCTCCGGCACGATTCGAGCACAGGGACACATCGCTCCTCTTACCGGTCTCAGTCTCCTGTCGATGGGAAAACTCGGGAGCTGGATGCAGGGACGAACACGCGCCGACTGTGAGACTGTGAGACTGTGAGTGTGGCCGACTGCCGAGAGCCACCGAGCGGACTAAGCCACAGAAGTGAGCCACTGACTGAGCCGCCGCCGTGGCGGGCAACACCCACTTTCACGTATCGCGTCATCGTTCGCGATCCGCAGGCTTCCTCAAGGCGACGCGATTACGAGAGCGATTGCGAAACTCTCTCGCCGAATAAGAAGAAGGCGTAACTTTTCCTCCCCCCTCCCCCCTTTCCCACTTTCCACACGTCCGCGATGCGCCCGCGCGGGAATGTGTCGCGTCGCTACAGTGATAAGATGGGGGAGCGATGAGAGATTCAAGTTGCGGCTGCGAGGTACCGACGCCGAATTGACCACACGGTTAGCCGATAACCTCAAAGAGGTATGATTCTTTCCAGGGTTGGGAAGTAATTCGTTACTTGTAACCAAGTTACAGTTACTTCTTTTCGGTAACTCTAACTTAACTTGGTTACTTTTTCTCCATCTGTAACTGTAACTCGATCAATTGCATTTTTTCGATAACCAGTAACTAATTTAATAGTTACTTTATATATATTTTTTCAACCTCCGCAGATCGCATTAGGCCTTGCATTTGCGCATAAACGCCTTTATCGCCGCTTTACAATTCAGATGCAGATTCGATATTTTTATTTCTGTTGCAACCCAGATAGCACACTGAATTCACAAAGTATTCTTCAAGTTTTCTTTTTTCTGAATTGTAATTCTTTAGGAATTCATAGAAGAATACAATAAGAGTGACAGAGGAAGTTTAACATGCACCATAAATCGTTTTCCTGACAACTTCTTAAAGTATTCATCTCGAATTCAATAAATGTAAACTTTATGAATTCAAGGGGAATAGTGTTAGAACAAAGAGGATTACAAAATATTTACCCAATGTATGTACACATCTAATATGCAGTAACATTACACCATTATTATAATTTCTCACTCAACAGTGAGATACTCTCAACCGAAGCTCGTTGACAATCGGATGATTCTTCCGTTTCGGTTCTCGTCGTCCGATTCTTTCTTTTACACAATAGAACTATTGCACCAAATTAATTGCACATAACGTTACGCACACAAAATATTGCACGTGGTAACACGCTGCACAAGAACGTCCGGATGGCGGTTAGCGGATACTCGCGCATGACAAATAATTTCTCATAAATTCTTAAAGTGTTCACAGTACTGAATCGCGAAGTATTCAGTATAATGAACTTCAGAAGAATACTTCAAGACGAACTGATTCAGACTAATTCTTCAAGAATTCTTCACATATTCATTTTTCTAATTCTGTATGTTTTCTTTAAAATGAATTCTCTATGAACTTATGTTCATCTTTGTGCTATCTGGGAAGGGAGTAACTGCAAAGTAACGATTCGTTACTTTTCGAGTAACTGTAACTGTAACGCGTTACTTTTCAGAATTGGTAACTTGTAAAGGCTGGTCTACAATATATGGAGTAAGCTGGAGTAAGGAAATAAATCCATTGTATTCAGCTCTTAGGCTTACTCTCGGTGAATAAAAATACCATCAATCAGTGTTACAAATATTTTAAAAATTATGCCCAAATTTTTTAGCTTCCTTACACCAAAAGCTAGAAGTTAGGGCTCTCCCTTACTCCTTACTCCACGCTTACTCCACGTATTGTAGACCAGCGTTAACTGTAACTAGTTAAGGCCTTCACACACAAAATTCCGTAAGGACGTAAAACGTAAGCGTAAGAAAATCGACCAGTCACAGTCGAGAACGTAAGGCAATAACGCAAGCAGTAGCAAATCCAATCTGTTGATTTTCTTACGCTTACGTTTTACGTACTTACGGAATTTTATGTGTGAAGGCCTTTACACTGTTAAGCTGCCATTTCACGGAGCGAAACTAAAGCTGGTGTTTACCTCCACTCTACCAAACGATACAGCGAAGTTGGATTTATCCAACTTTTAGCGAATGCTGTGAATGCCTAACCTGACCAGTGGGTACTTGAGTAAAGACGTTGTAAGTGTTAAAATAAAGTAATATAACCACTACACAAAACAAATATCATGTATTTTTAAATATTTTTAATGTTTCAGAATACGTAATTATGGCTGGAAGAAGCGAGAAATTGGCATCACGAAAAAACATATGTACAATAATTTTGGCACTGACACAAAGAAGAAACTGTGTCAGTCACGGTTTTTAAAAATTGGTGCTACCCAATGCTTTTTTCCTTATATTTTTTTCTTCTACAAATGCATCACAGTAGCTGCAGCCCCGGCTATACACTGTTTTTGTATTTATGCAATTGCAATTGTTAATCCACATTCTTCATCCATTTTATTTATTTGTATTCCACTATAAACAAAACTAGAAAGCCAGCAAAAGCCAGGAATTCAACTTGACTGAAATACAACCTCAAAGCAGCGAAAAATACGCTCCATGAAAAGGCAAGAGGCATTTAGCCTCTTTAGCGTTAGCTAAAGCAAAGCTGATTTGTGTTGCGATGGAGTGGGAGTAAACGCCAGCTTTAGCCTCGCTCCGTGAAATGGCAGCTTTACTGTAACTAGTTACTTTTATTAAGTAACTTTCCCAACCCTGATTCTTTCTCTATGCATGTCCGTCTAGCTGGGAGATCACTTAAGAATGAGATCTGCCATTGGTTCGTAACATTGCACTTGTTTCAAGTGTAAGAAGCAACTACCGTGTTTCTCACATTTTAGCCTCGCAACTCGCAACCAGTTCGCCTGACGATCTACGTTAATCCACGATGACGAACAGCCTCATTGATGCGCACTGGTTTCCCCTGGCGTCGCAGGGCAACATTTACTCCATGACCAAACTGTGCTCGTCCAGCAGCTCCAACAAGCTGTTAGTGGCGTCCTTAAAGAGAAAGATCTACTCCTGCGAGTATCATCAAACGTCCGAGTTCCTGAGGCCTATGGTGAAGGAATTGCTGTTTACGTACATCCCCAGTATGTAAACTATTATTATTCTTTCACGAACACTTTAATCAAGATGGATGTAATCATTTATTCACTTGGACCAATAAGCAAGCGGCGGACTTGATTTACAATAAGTTAATATACACTCGGCCTCCCATTTTTCTATCACGCATAATGCACTTTAGTCGATAACGTCACATACACGTGTCTTCTTCATCTGCCTCAGGTGGCACGGAAATTATTGCCATCGACGCTTACAACAAGTCCGACGCTGGGGACAGTTTTGTGATAGGCATAACCATCATGAAGACGAGCACCGACACCATAGAGAGGTACTTGAACATATACACGGAGGGTGCGATAGACGGCGAAGGGGACGAGGGTAGTTCGATCGAAGCAATAGCGCAGAATTGTCTCATGGTGGAACTGTCGTACATCCCCTACCATCTGTATCATACCGTTTTACCACAAGAAAATTCGGCACAGGAGGTGTGTTGGAGATATCAGACAGTTTGCACCGTCACAGTCACTTTATGTAGCACGAGTGAAAACTTGCAGGTAGTCTGGTTGATATCTGGAAGCGATTATAAGATTCACATGATAAGGGAAGATAAATTGAGCCATGTTTACAGCGAGTCTTCCGTCGAGAATCACTTCCCGGAGCTGCACGACATCCAAGCGATTGCACTATGGATTAATATTTATTATTATGACAATTATAAGCGGTTTGTATAAGAAAATGATATTCTCTTGTCTCGATAATGCGTATCATCTCACGTGTGGCCGATCCAAAAGCAGGAGGGTCACCGCCATCGGCTGTGATTGCGGTCTGGTCAAGATCGCTCTAGTAAGCGTGGTGGACTTGCAGGTTTCTCGAAGCTGGCTGCTGAGATACGACAGTCCTGTACCAAGTGTAATAGTATTCCCACACAGAAACCCCATTAGCAAGCCAGACTTTGTGGACGTTAAACGTAAATATTTTAGGACCTTTAGGCACATTGTGTACGCGTGTAACACCAAGATGAAAATTATTAAAAATTTCAGCCGAGAAATGCGTCCCGAAAGATGACATCCTGAAATTAAACATTGTTATTTCAAGTACGAGTAATGCTGTGGTTTTTAAGTAAGTATACAAGTTAACGGGTATCTCAAGATTTCATGATAAATTGAGACGAATGAAAAATATTCGCCAGAGATATCTTGGAGCACGGAATGAAACAGGACGTAATACTGAGCGGCAGCGAATCGTCGGACAGTATTCTGTGCTGCTGCATCGCAGACATAAATATGGACGGGCAAAACGAGATCTTGCTTGGCACCTACGGCCAGGAGGTCCTGATCTTTGCGTTGACGGGTGACACGTGGGAATTGACCTCGAGAAAACTGTTCGACGCTCCTGTGCATTCCATAAGCTACATGGACATAACAAACGATGGAATAAAGGAACTGATTGTGCTCACGCAACGAGGTGTACATATATTACAGGTAAACAGGTGCCCTAACATTTTACATGTGTATATATACATATATTTAAGATATACATTTTTATACATCTTTCCGCATAGCACAATATAGCCGACACACGTGCCAAGTGGAAGGAACGTTACGGAAAGTTATTTGACACGCTAGTTCGAAAATAATGAAAATATTTTTTATATTTCAAATCCAAAAAGAAGATTATATCCCCTCATGTATTTTATACATTTGTTACGTATTGTACATATTATATTGGTAATTTAATTATATATATACAGGGTGTACCTAAACTGGCGATAAATATTTTAATGATAAGTAGTTTGTAACATTTTGAGACGAAAATTCTAATACGAAAAAGTCGAGGCTATAATATAGTTTTCAAATGGGAACAGTTTAAACATCTCGAATAACAAAGCTAGAATTTCGCGCGCTCAGGGCTGGCAAAATAGCCAATGATAAAGGTGCTTTCTTGAACCACACGTTTTTGACATTAATGAAATTAGTGTAAAAATGTATGCAAGAGTTTTATTAAGAAACTTTCTGTTTATTTGCAATGAATTTTAGAAATAGTTTAAAATGTTTTTTTTCAATAGTTCAAATCGATATTGATTTGTGTCAACTGTCATCAGCATATCTATTTGGTTAAATTGGTAAATGTCCGCGATGAAATTTGTCGATAAAATCATTTTTGTTCCACCTTGAGATTGACTTTGTCGATAACATAGCATACTATACCGATTACTGATTAAATTCTGATAAAAGTCAAGCCATTGATATTCTTTCTTAAAAATAGTGATAATATTTCAGGAGTTTGGGAAAGAAGGAAATTAACATAAAGAAAAATAAAATAGAAAGAATATTAATGTAAATTAGGTCCTCATAAACGTACTTAGTAAAATCCATGAAATAATTTTTTATAAATTCTATATTATTTTACGACTGCATAAATTTTTAATATTGCTAAATTTTCTAAATGCAATTGTATTATTAGTTATTATTATTATTTGGTGTGAGCACAATTTTTTAAACGCTACGGAAAACTAACAATGATTTTGAAAATCTTGATTTTATACCTATGATAAGAATAAACATTATGCATATTGTATGCATATTGCAACCGCGAACTAAGTATCACATAACATCTTTTAACGTTTAACAGCTCAAAATGAATAATAATATTTCTATTATTAGCATCATACAATATCGTTTCTTAGAGGTAATAAATAAATTATAACCGAAGCGTCTAATTTAACGTAGTTTACTTTTTATTTTTGTAGGACTTTGTAAAAATACAATAAATCTATCAATAGAGTTAACGTAGGATTCTCACTAAAACTAAACAAGGAACAAGAAAGACCAATGCGAGTCAAGGCAGGATGTAGATAGCCTATACTAATAATTTTTAATAAATTGCGAATTCATATACTGTTTCTTGTATACGATTTCATAATTTATTAAAAATTATTAGTATAGGCTATCTACATCCTGCCTTGACTCGCATAAATCTATCATTTTATTCGTGATAAATTATTTACATTGGTTAATATGTTGTCTACGTGAAGAAGATGGTATAATAAATTAATGTAAACTATTCGTGTAACGTAATGTAAACTATTCGTGAAAAAAATAAACAATCCATATAATCTTGAAATTTTAAAATCTTGAAATTATGATGCAGACGCTCACCATACAATAAATCCAATAAATGAAATATCTGTTAAGAGAAACGATATTATTATAGTCAAGTGCCTGGGCCCTTTTCAGGATCGTATCCAGGAAAGGCGCGTACGAACTAGCGTACATTATTTATTGTAAATGGAAATGGCCTATGAAAAAAATGTTCTAATAAAAGTAATTAATGTAATTACTTGCTCCAATGTATAAAAGTATTAACGCGTTATTCGTCAACACTGCAAATTTTTCAATGTCACACCGACTTTGCACTAACACACGTACAAAAATCCTGTGATTGGTCATAACTAAAACATGTCGGATGCGCAGTACGGATCGGCGCGAACGTGAAACAAAAGAGCGAGTGCCCATACTGGTTAAGCCTATCACACAATGCGAGGCAACAGGCAACAGGAACAGGGAATAGAATTTCTGACGCGTTGGATTGGTTAGTAGAAAATTTCTGACGAATCCAACGCGTCAAAAATTCTATTCTCTATTCCTATTGCCTGTTGCCTGGCATTGTGTGATAGGCTTTATACTGTGGTTATACTGTGGTTATACTGTGCTTTGAACGCGGGATTATTATTATTATTATTTGGTTACCTTTGGTCTGTTCGTTATCGCTGCATTACTGCACTAGTGCAATTAACTAACTGCACTAGTGCAGTAGGCTAGAGCAGGGGTGGGCAAAATGCTGCCCGCGGGCAACGGGCGCCCGCGGGCGCCCGCGGGCATGCCCGCGGGCATGCCCCCACTCCAATCATCGCCCCACCACGTCTCAATCATATTCGGAACTATACTTCTAAAGCGCGACGTTCTTTCCCACTTACGAAACTGTCTCCCCACTCTTGCCGAAACTGTCTCCCCACTCTTGCCCGACACGCACAGCTATTGCCCGCGGGCAAACGGGCGCCCGCGGGCAGTGAAAATTGCCCAGGCCTGGGCTAGAGGTTACTTGGCTCCCAGTCGAACCAATATGGCTACGCTAAAGAGTTCACTAGACATCAGATCAGGGGAGCGATCACGTGCACCGATCGAATTCGAATTCGAGAAGGAATATGCCATCCGATACCACTCTTCGTACATGATCAATCTATGGTCTGAGGGAAACTATCCTATAATAAATAAGCATGAACTATGAAACCTGTAGAGTAGAGACGTATGAGAAGTCGACCGATCGAATTCGATCGTGCACGCGATCGCTCCCCAGAGCTGCGTTCAGAAACGTCACCCGAACGCACTGGCGTATATTTTATCCTTGTTTAACATACGATGAGCAACAAGGATAGAATGATGGATCGAGTGGTGTTTCTGAACGCAGCCCAGTGTGTCGCGTGCGACAAATCGTCAAAGTTGAAACTTTTGTCGCGACGTCGCGTTCTTCACAGCGACGGATGTGACGTTGAGAAAAGCTGTGCGCTGATTGGATATCGCGCGTCGCGCGTCGCGTCGTCGCGCTGGTCTGCAAGAGCCATTACTAGGGTGCGTTCGAA